ATCTTTTAATTTATCGTTATACTTGAATTTGTTTGAACGCATTAAATCCTTGCTCTTTAATATCGTGTCTTCCTTCAGGTCGGACATATTATCCTCCGCTCTTTTCCTGCTTATTCATCATGGAAACCGAATCTCCTCGTCGTAGCTCTCGTTTATCTTCCTCTCCTAAGGGCAAAGCAGATGGTGATATCGTATCTAGTGTATGCTATCGTTTTATTATTAAACTTTTAGACTGACAACCATAATAGTGCCTCAAATGGTGTGAGTGTTGCCAAACTGAATGGGAATTCTAGCGCTGAGCCAATATTAAAGAAAGCAAAGTTACAAGATGGTACTGTGACTTATAGATCTTATCCTTTAGTTGAGAGTAGTGAGGATTCATGCGAAAATGGTGATAATAAAGCGGAAAATGAATCAGTCGAAAAGGATGAAGATCAAAGCGAATCATCCGAAGTAGATAAGAAAAGTGATGATGCAGAAGAGGATGATGCAGATGATGAAAAAGATGATGAAAAAGATGATGAAAAGGATGACGATAAAGGTACATTGCTTCCTCCATACATTTTAAGAGTCTGTCAAAGCTGATAGTGTCGACAATGATGAAGCAAAAGAGGATGGTAAGTCTTGTTCTCTTATTTTGCTAGATGATAAAAGTCCTGTCCCAGAAAAAGATGATCCCGAAGTAGCGGCAGATGAATGATAATTACTTTCTATAATGATTTGCTTTTACACCGTGCATTTACGGATCTCATTCCGGCATTTCACTTTTTCACTGATATCGTTTCATAGATATAAATTTTGAATACATTTTTATGGATATTTGCTTTATTTCTGATATAATATTAGAGTATCGATTCTTCCGCATTCATATGCGGCTATTAACCGCGAATTTATTTCGTACATTTCCACCGCTCTTTGCGACTTATATATATCTTGATTCTTTTTCCCCCACCAGATTTAGCAACTTAACTTATTTCGAGCTTAATGTGGAGTTTTTCTGACGTTACTTATTTTTTTCTTTGGCTTTATTGGATTTGTTGGTCTACAGCCTATATCCAGGGTGACTCGGATCCTGTAGTTTATTACGAATCGCATTTGCGAGTAATTATTGTTTGGTTCAATACCTCTACCTCGCGTATCTTGATTCGTAGCAAAAACGCTCTAGTCTAAGGTTCCGCCACTAATCTCCCACACAATGGTCGCCGTATTTCGTCCACCTTGGCTCGTCTCGATATTTACGTCAACTTTCTGTCGAAATATATTATGATACAAGTGAAACAGCTGGGTCGTTAAACCTCTACTTAACTAGTTCATCATTGCCACAACTACTAGATCTTGGAGAGTAATTCGAGCAATGATAGCTATAATTCCTTGGCATGGTTTCTCTGGGGTCAGGTTTTATTGCTCTGCTCAACGCACCTGTTTCAGCCTTTTGTTTATGCCCAACTGTTTGCAAAATACTTGTGGGTGTGACGCCATTACTGATAATCAGTCTTGATCTTGATAAAGTTTTTCGTAAGGGTCTGTGGTTATGAGAAGCTTTCTGATGGAATTCTGAGCTTTTCGTCTTCAACAATTTAGAACCCTGTTTATCCAGAGTGCTTAGTCACAATAAATTTCGCGTCTGTGTAGGCTGTTGGTAGGACGCAGTTCGTTTGACGAATGAACTAACGCCATCTCTTGAGGGTTTGCTGTAACAGTTAAGCGCAGTCTACTAATGCGATTCAAAAGTGTGCGCCTGCTTCCCTAGCTACGAGTGAGACTACTTTGAATTCCATAATCTTTTATTCTGTCATTCAGCATTATTAAATATTAACTTACCATGATCTTCCCCCATCTTATCGTTAATTTTAATACGAACGATCGTTAACATCATGGTTGTTTGCTTAACCTACGATTGGCTTATCTAATAGCAAGGTCTCGCTTCCTTATCTTTGGTGTCTTCATGATGACTTTTGCAATTAGCTATTTATTATCAATTTGATAATTAACTAATATCCAGATGCAGATTGACTACGTCGAGGCAAAGCAATTCCGGTCAGACTAACGGATTGAGCACTAAAACCCGTTCGTTTATAAGTAGTTCATGATTTATTTATTAGAAGAATGTTATTCATCGAAATGAGGATGTTCTTGCAAGTCGAAATTCAGAACAGTCATAAGTATTTCAGATGACCACAGGAGACAACGGGGTAAGTCTAACTGTTAAGTGAGTATACATAATTAAAAGGCAATGAAGGAACCATCAGGGACCTTACTGCAGTGCTACATATTATTCTACTTGCAAATCGTGATTATTTGTCAGAAGTGCCCATTGGAAATGGCACAGATGAATAACCGCTCGCCTGACGCATTTTAGTGCAGATACAATATTCAAAGTGTGCAATTTGATTCCAAAATTTTAGTCTTGCAGATTTTAAGTCATTCCCAACTTCGTATTAAGCAAAAACCTATAGTCGTCATAATTCAGTCTTTTTGATCACTGCCAATTAACCTTAGACAGCTTTTAACTTATGTGACTCCCTTATAAGTCTTTTGGCAAACTCTTGATAACATCCTTAATTTTTCTGTCCATACTATGCATGCTGATTCTCGTCCTTTGCGAATGAATTTTTAATTACTTTCCTTGACTGTATACTAGTCTTGAGAGTTGAATTAGCCTTCATCTTGCTCCCACAATTCCTTTTTCATTACGAATAGGCAATTATACGTACTTTACTATAGTGATTCAATGGTCTTAATTCGTAACTTTGAAACACTGTGAGGTATATGGCTCAGCCTGTCGAGCCACGTCCACTTGAGGCAGACCAATGTCAGACTTTTAGCTAATTTGATGCAATGATAAGAATGAATGTAAGTAAATATTCGTGTTTTGCACAACATAATGCAGATTGCCATTTCTACGTTGGTAAGTGGATTATTTTTCGAAATTGA